CTCAGTGAATACATAGTCAGTTATACTGCTGCTCAGTGAATACAGTCAGTTATACTGCTGCTCAGTGAATACACAGTCAGTTATAATGTTGTTCAGTGAATACACAGTCAGTTATACTGCTGCTCAGTGAATACACAGTCAGTTATACTGCTGCTCAGTGAATACACAGTCAGTTATACGTCGACAAAACATGCTCACACTTAACAACGTTACCACTTCATAGAATATACTACTAAACGAAATTGTAGACATATTAGACAAATAAATATGCAGGTTTAACTATGTTAAAACTTGTTTAAAGCTGCAACTCACACGGGGGTTGTAAAACCTCAAATAAATACAGAATCAAAGGTATTCTACTCTGTTGTAATGTATACTCCATGTTAGGGCGACAAAGTAAACCAACCTCGATTTTTCGCAAGTTACATAGGTAACTTTAATTAAATAGTTATCATGTACATTTAAGTAGTGTGTTATTTGGCATTTTTTTACTATTTTTCAGAAAATCTTTGAGACAAAGTGTTTATGATTAATATTTTTTATTTAATTAAGTAATAAAAACGGATAAAACATTCATACCAGTAGATTTTTTCCAAAAAACACGAGGGTTGGGAAACCCGTCTGCCATACAGTCCATAGAGATACGGTACCCACGCACAACATTTGTGTTGGAAGGTTCCTTAACCCAATGGGGTGGCACTAGTTGTAACAGGAATCATAAATTTCATAAGAATTAATGGATAATATACATATAACACCAGAAATCGTTGCAAAATTTTAGTTGCGAATTGTATTTTATTCGTTTGTTGCTGCACTATGGGCTATCTGTATGGTATCTTGTATTTTAGCGTTATAAGCCTTGAAGCTTATCACGGAGCCACCTTTTTTCGGTTTGATATTTAAATTTGCGAAATTACATATTGCATTCATAGATGGAGCCACAAATCATACTTTTTCAAACTTCTTTCCATAATGGTCCCCCAGTGAGTCAACGGTAAGTTTACGGGCTTACAACGCTACAATCAGATATTCGATTCCATTTTGGATATAGCAGATATCGCAATATAGCTTTGCGCTAAAAACAAACAAACAAGCTTTCAATTATGGCCTGGGAGTGGCTTAGTGGTTACTGTTCCTAGTTGTGGATTGAGAGTCCAAGGCTTAAGTTACACCACCATTGAATACGCTCCTTATTTTCAGCTGTGGTTGCATTATAAGAGTGATTTAAAGCAGGGGCAAACCTTGCTTCTTTTTCGTTATTTGTTCAGAAACTGGAACAACTATGTCTAGACCCTAGGGTCAATTAACCTGACTGTTAAGCCCACTTGCCCATAAATGTTGAAACTTCCAATGCACTTTTTATTCTATTTAAGTATATGACACATTGGTTGAATATCTCACAATTTAATCTAAATAGGTATGGCCAACTCTGGGAATAAAACTGAAATATGCTGTTTCATTTTTAAGTATATCCTTCTTCGAAAGTTTGTATTCATAGCAAAGCTATTAATGCCGCAGTCCCTAATTTTAACTACTGACCAGAGAAGGGAGAGGGAAGCCAGTCAATAGAAACCTATCACTCACCATTCACACTATGGACTGTCACTCTTATAATTCAACCACAGCTTGAAATTCGTGAAATATTTTGTGTTATCGCACAGATTCAAACCCGGTTTACCAGCTCCGAAATCCAGAGATGTTACACAGATAGGTAGATAAATGTCCTTTTATAAAGAACATTTATACAGAGCATTAGGTTGCAACCAGATAAATGTTAATTTAATAAAAATGCTTTCAATTTTTAAAACTGTGGATATAAATTATACGTGGAATGTAATTTGTCATTGCATTCATGACACCTGGTGCAGTTATTATGCATGAAAAGAACAAAAACTTTTGTATTCATAATTGAATCTTAGCTAACCCTCATCCTCCCCAACAACAAACAATACTGCTAGACTAGACTCCTTATATGTATAGCACATCGAAACATATTTCGATGTATATTTGTGTGTGTGTGTATCGAAAGTGTAATTCTGTGGTGGCAGCACTAAATTCTCGTACCTTTTCTTAAAATAAAATTACTATTACGTGAAAATACAAAACCTTATAACCCGAGCGCTTTCGAAGGGTGGACTTTTCATCACCAGTTTGCCCCAGATGGAAAAAGGCCCATCTTTTGAATACTTTCGAGTTATAGGGTTTTGCATTTTTGTCCTAAATTGATTTTTTTGAACCTTCGTGATTTCCTAACATCATGAATTAGCATTGTGTTTATGCATCATGTAAACAAGTGGTTACTATATGGTGAAAGTAAATGAATAACCCTAAACCTAGGTAAACTTATTAATACATCTAAATACTATAGCGTAACAATAGCACTTGTTGATGTGACGTTCCAATATGATAACTGCACTAACGAGCTGACTTCGTTATTATCGCTCCAAAACGCATTCAAGAGAATAGTGTAGTTCTGTGCGCGATCCATGGGACTTCACCTCCACACTCAGGCACATTAACCGCTAGGTAGCGCTTTCGGTCCTACTTGACAGAAGAGTTTGTTTGTTTGAAGTTAAGCACAAAGCTACACAATGGACTATCTGTGCTCTGCCCACCACGAGTATCGAAACCCGGTTTCTAGCGTTGAAAGTCCGCAGACATACTGCTGTGCCACTGGGGGGCTGACAGAAGAGAAAAGTCACACAACCTTTTAATTAAAGCAACCTCTAAATAAATATTGATTTAAATTTAAAAAGTAAGAGGTCGCGCAGAGTAAATTGTTATCATAAACTGTTTTCACAATTCTTTAAAATTATTTTGTAAAACTGTACATGTTAGAAAATTAATTTTTGTGTAATTTGAGTAATTATCTATGCGTAACACAAAAAATCACCAACGTTTTCAACATAACGGATTTACCATTGACAACGAGCGTTGTTGTTCTGTTGACAGTAGCTGCACTATTCGATGCAAAGCATGTGTAATTTCCACTGTCTGAATACGATACATTCGTCAGCACGAGGAGAGAAGAATCTTCCAAAGTTTGTACCCGTCTCCTGTTTTCTCTGACAACAGCATCGCCATCTTTCATCCATCCGATTCTGATAGGTGTATCTCCCTTAATTATGGCGCAGACGAGTTTGACTCGCATTCCCTGACTCACAATTTTGGTCTCTGGGAAAAATTCTTCGTCGATAAGGGGCGCCACTTTAGTGAAACAATAACAAAAACAACTGCCACGTTAATTTGCATCTTTAAAAAAAAAAGAAAAAGAAAAACGTGCGCCATTTCTTCTTTAGAATATAACATTATTGCAGAACTGCGTATATATATATATATATGACTTATGGTAATTTATATGAAATATTACATATCAAGTAAAACAAAATTTCTTACAAAATCATATCAAATCAAATTTATATTTGATAAAAATAGGCATTTAGCTTTATAAAAGAAAATCAAAGTATTCTTATCAGATGTTCCCTGTACTGTTGACGAATCTTTCATTACTATAAAAAAGTAGTTTAGAATATTCGATAACAGCATTTTACGATAGAAAGTCGTACACATGCTTTAATTTTACTTTTATAATTGCAGAACACATGGCAACAGTCGATTGTAAAAGCATTCCGTAAGAACAGAGAAGCGAGAAATAAGAAATACTTTATCAACTCCTTTCTAAAGTTTACATAGAAAAAACTGTATAGAGATTACAAAATTGTTTGCTTTAGTGTTCCTGTGAGGATTTGTCTCAAAATCGCTCTGAAATACCGAGAAAGAACTGAACCTCTTCGTTCATGGATAGACGATACATACGATAAATTCCTTTACAGATATCGCTAAAACTTCATGTTTCTGACAAATAATCTACTTCTAAAACTATTAAAAAGTCACTTAAAACAAAATTTATATTTCTACTAACCTTTGATAATCACATATATCCGTCCTCTTGCTGTGAGTCCTTCTGGACTTTTGGCTATGCATGTGTATTCTCCATGGTCAGCTGGTCTTTCCATTTTTCTTACGATTAGAGCGCCATGTGACTCCACCTTTTGGCGATGCGTCAGAGGCAAAGGAGAGCCATCTGTCGACAGATAATTTTATGTTTTCTCTATGTAGTTGATAAACCATTTTTAAACTAGATGTACTTGCGCAGGTTCCCCGAAAGTGTTCTTTTTGAAGAGCAAATAAAACCAAAATTAAGAGTAACAAATATTTTTATTCCTTGCTTTTGAAGTTCATATGTCATGCTGGGTTGTAGCTTAGTTACAGAGTGCATAATTCTTCTCGTGATTCATGGCATTCGCACGTTTTATTGACGTCACGACAATAAAAATTGCAACGTTAAGCGTTCCTTATTTGATGCAATTTTAGTATCTACTGACTGACTGACTGAAAACACACACACTACAGTATAGTGGTGCGAGAGGTTAAAACAGTTTCGGCCACTTTCAAGGAAATAACCATAAAATGAAAGACTTTGTATCAGATGGCCTGTGCTGAACGATAGACAGTTTGTTTGTTTTTAGTCACAAATCCATATAATTAGCTCTCTGACCTATGCCCACCGCAGTTATAGAAACCCGTGTTTTAGCACTATAAGCCCACTGGCTTAACACGAAGCCACCAGAGCACAACTAAAGAAATATAGCATACGGTGAAAAGTAACCTAGTTTCTAGAGGACGTTTTACCATACACTTTTAATATGATCAATTTAATTGAAGTTCTATTACAAAAACACACTTCAAAAATCAGTACTACATCACGCAACATCAAGGCCAAAAGAATGAAATTTGCTCTAAATTTATTGTTTTTGTTATTACACTTTTTTTTTTATAATGCTCATACTTTGTGAATGTGCCGTACATTTCTGTACGACGTAAACGCCACCCGTACTAAATATCTTTCAAAAAACATAAACAAGTTAATAAACATTAAAAGTTAAATAGCGTTTGTTAGTTTCATTCTTTACACTTAGTCAAAAACAGCCACCTTCATATTAACTAACCTCGTTCCCAGGTAATACTTTTAATTGGGTAACCGGACACGGCACATCTTAGGGTTAAGGTTTCTCCGGACAGGACTGTGACGTTTTCCATCGGACGTATTATTGGTGGTCCATATACGTTTATTTTCCCAGCGTGAGTAACACTATCGACAGCATTGGTTGCTTTACACGAGTACTCGCCGCCATCTTCAACTCTGACATCGCTGATATTGACGTAACTAACCACGTGACCATGAGACGTAACAAAATCACCAATTCTTAAGCGAGGGGTTTCAGGAATTGGAAATCCGTCCAGTTTCCAGGTGATTACGGGAAGAGGGTTTCCTGATGCTGAGCAACTGAGTGATAAGCTCATCCCTGGTTTTAAATTTCTTTCAGGAAACGTAACCATCATGGACGGAGCCACTTCTAAAAACATAGAGAAGCATTCACACATTTCACACTTATCTTGTAAATGTAGACAGAATCATTGCTTTCAATAATGGTAAAGATATCAAGTAGCCTAGCAAGAAGTATGTAATTCTTATTCTTATTACTAACGCTTAGCCCAGGTAAGTATTTTTAAATAGACACTTCAGAATAGCAGTTAACTTATCATAATCAAGCAAGTTTCGACAGAGCCTTTCCAAACACTAAAAGTTTAAAGATATTTCATTTCTATTTAGTACCTAAAAAATCAGGAAGCAGAAACAGAAGATGGTGTGCTTAGAAGAGTAAACAGGTAAACATTTTATCCAAATCATTACGTTTGTTTGAGAATGTGATAATTTTTTTAGCACTATATGTCAGAAACTTACTTTTTAGTAGTATATATGGTAATGTAAATATATGGGTGTGTTGGGCTAAGGATTCTTCTGTAGTAGGTGTTTATGACTTGTTGCCGATAAATTCGACAATAAATGAACAGCACGCAATTCCACTTGTTTATAAATTTATATATG